TATAGAAAGTGTTATATTAATACCAAATACGTATAATTCAACTATAGAAATTGTTATATTAATACCAAATATGTATAATTCAACTATAGAAAGTGTTATATTAATACCAAATATGTATAATTCAACTATGGAAATTGTTATATTAATACCAAATACGTATAATTCAACTATAGAAATTGTTATATTAATACCAAATACGTATAATTCAACTATAGAAAGTGTTATATTAATACCAAATACGTATAATTCAACTATAGAAAGTGTTATATTAATACCAAATACGTATAATTCAACTATAGAAAGTGTTATATTAATATTATATTAATACCAAATATGTATAATTCAACTATAGAAAGTGTTATATTAATACCAAATATGTATAATTCAACTATAGAAAGTGTTATATTAATACCAAATACTTATAATTCAACTATAGAAACTATGTAGTTCCCATTATAATTCAATTTTTGAATTCTAATACTTATAATTATGAATTATTGTAACTTATTTTTGCCTTGTTTTATATATATATATATAGTGTAGAAGTTGTTGTTTGGTAAATAAAGTTGTGTTTTTCTTCATTAGCCTCTACTGGGAATATGCAATGAACTTTACTGTGGAAGATATAGTGTACTTACATTGTCACCAACATGGTAAGAATTGTGAACCTTTATCTGTTATATAGTAGTTGTATTTATGAATATATGTAGTGAAACTTTGCTCCTGGATAATGATTTATAACAAGTAATCAATGTAGATAGTACAATAGCTGCATTAATAGGGTCTGAATGTTAATGTTCTTTTGACAAATAGTAGAAATGCAGAAAAGATATCTTACTGAATTATTTAGCTAGCCAGTCTTTTGTAAGAAAATAATAAACACACTGTATCAAAAGCTGCATAACTTGATATTTTAGTTACATGTATTGTTTCGTTTGTTGTTAAACACAAGGCTGCACATTGGGTCATCTGTGCTGTGCCTAATGCAAGGATCGAACTCCAAATTTTAGCATTAGAAGCCCTGAAGCTTACATCTGAGCCACAGTTACATGTAAAAAAAAATCTCCTACATTATTTTATCTGTTCAAACAGCGATTGTAAATAAGTACTCTCACACGTATCTCCGTAGATATCAATGTGTGGGAATACGTTAAATATTTTCTTGGAATTATAACCACTTATACAAATTATAGGGAGCAACTGTATATTTCTCGGCATTGCAATAACAATACCGACACTTTTAATGTTTTTATTTTTCACATCAAAATTGTTATGTTTTGCAGCAACGTTGTGTAAGTAAAAAAATCATGCTCACATTGATCTCGTTTTGAATTAGACCCGATACAACTATTTTACTGAAAACTCTGGAGGAAGATTAGCCAACTTCCACTTACTACCACTCCCCTCCCCCCATCTCTTTCTTATTTAGTGATTTTGCAACCAAAAACAGCACATCAATTGCCACATATAATAAATTATATAACTGAAACACTTATAAAGGAGTTGTAATAACCTTTTGAAGAATTCTAGTGAAATTCGATGTTATTAAATAACCAGAAATAAGTTTTAAGTTAGCAGCACTAAAGGTCTTTTTTTTTTCTCTCTCTCTTTGTAAAGTTTGTGTTTGGAAGTAGTGGTACATAATATTAGCCTTTTTTTTCTTTTGTATTCTACCCATCGTTCATTTTTCTCGGCCAGCGGACACTGGAGGAACAATTGTCCTCGTAGGACAAGACGGAGTTCAACAGCCACCTATTCTCTTCCCTAAAGGTGGACATCTGCTAGCATTTCTCTCGTGTCTGGAGAATGGTCTTCTGCCTCATGGACAACTTGATCCCCCTCTTTGGTCACAGAGGGGAAAAGGTTGGACATTGCTCAAACCTTCCCATCTGAAAATAATTATTGGTATGGAACGGTAGTGTAAAGAACTTAAAGTTTCAGTAAAACTTATTATAATATGTTTAATTCAAAATATAATGACTAAGAAACAGAAGTTTTTAAAATTCAAAATGACATTTTTGGCAGAGAACACATTTTTTTCTTTTGGTTTGCACTCGTCTGGAGAAGTGCTTCTCTTTCTGAATCATCATTTTGAAACTAAAAAAAGTATTTAAATTTTTTAGTTAATATATGGTTCTGGAGTTAGTTTTTTTCCACTTTTTGACCTTTGTACTCCGATCAACTATCAGTTAAGATATGAATTACTTAATGAAGTTAGTATATGGTTCTGGAGTTAGTTTTTCCACTTTTGACCTTTGTACTCCGGTCAACTATCAGTTAACATATGAATTGCTTAACTATCAGTTGCACTTTGTTAGGTACATTATTTCCTAACAACTTTTATGCAGTTGGAATGGGATTAGCTCATAATCTTAGTTAATTTGGTATTAATATAACACTTTCTATAGTTGAATTATACGTATTTGGTATTAATATAACACTTTCTATAGTTGAATTATACGTATTTGGTATTAATATAACACTTTCTATAGTTGAATTATACGTATTTGGTATTAATATAACACAAAATTAAGACATAATGGGAACTATACAAAGAACTAAGTTATAATAGGAACTATTAGTTCGTTGAGAAATTAATGTCATTTTTTTAGATGAAAAAAACCTGAACAATTTGTATATCAAAACAAAACATTTATTAAATTAAATAGCCTCCATTCTTATCAATGGTGCTTTTCCATCTTACAATCAGGTTGTTAATGCCCTGATTAAAGGAATTACTTGGCTTTGAAGCAAAAAACATGTCGATGTCCTCTTTAACACCTTCCATATTTGCATACGTTTTGCCATTAAGATGGTGTTGCAGCGAACGAAAAAGATGGTAATCTGATGGTGCCATATCTGGAGAATATGGTGGATGTGGGAGAGAACTTCCCAACCCAAATCCATAATCTTGTGTTGCATCAAACGTGCCACATGTGGATGTGCATTGTCGTGGAGAAGAAGAACACCTTTCCGATTGACAAGTGAAGGGCATTTATGATGAAGGGCTTGATTTAAACGTTCCAGTTGCTGACTATAGATATCTGCATTGACAGTTCGCTGTGGATTGAGGAGTTTGAAATGAAATACTCCTTTGATGTCCCACCAAATGCAACGCATCACTTTCTGTGGATGGAGTCCAGGTTTCGGGTTCAGAAGTGG